TGTTTGGTATGTGGTAGATTGGGGAACTCACTAAGCTTCGTGCTTACGATTTTCAGTTTTGGTTTCAGGTACTTCCGGTAGCGGAGGGAAGAGCTTGGGATGACTGCATCGCACACACCATGATGTTTAGCTTGGGATGTTTTACTCTGATGTAATAAATAAGTGTTTTGAAAAGATACTCTGATTGATAACTATGGTTTATTAATGAATTAAAATGAAAGTTTGGTCTTGATTTTTGGGATATTACAATGCAATAACTCCCTAGAATCTAAAGTTGGATCATGCCCTCTTTGGTTTTTCCTCGTCTGGACGATGTTCTGTAACGGTCGATTCAATCCATGACTCCTAGCATTTTCGACATCCAACGAACCAGTGAAGCCCTATATTCAAACGTGGGGCGTTTGTGTTTGATCTTTGAAGAAGAACAAAAGTTTGGTTCTTGAAGGTGGGGCTTTTCTAGTAAATCAAGATTTCAGCATCTATAAATCGAGATTTCAGCATCATCTATAAATCGAGACATCTCCATCGCATCTTATATTTTTAAAGATCCTGTTCACCACCACTGTCTTTATCTCCTTTTCTAATATGTTCTTCTCAATTTCTCCAGTAAGGGTTTTTTTCTTCAGAAATCAAACCAAGAAACAAAACAAAGGGGATTGGGTTTTAATTTCATATGATTTAAAACCTTCGAATTCCTAAAACGCTTGGATTTAAAACCTTCAATTTCCTGAAGCAAAGGGGATTATGGAAGAGGGACCGAAGAATAGGGAGATGGGAAATGGGGATGACGATTTGCATGTTTGGAACGATTGTGTTTTTATTCACTATGTGTGTTTAATTTTCTTTGTGTGTATGTAGAATTTTGTGATTGTTTGTTCTTGAGGAGATGAGTTTTGAAGGTACAAAGAGAATTAGAAGTTCTTTACGAATTAGACGGAGAGAGAGAGAGAGAGGGAGAGAGAGAGAGAGATATATATATATATATATATATATATATATATATATATATATATATATATATATATATATATATATATGGGAGGGGGTACCAGTGGAGATGGTTAGGGTGGGGTGAGATTTATTTTTCTATTTTTAATTATTTAAATACTAAGATAAATAAAGAAAATGCAAAAAAGAAATGAAAAGGGTAAATTTGACATTTCAAGTGTACCAAGGACCAAAATCACAAAATCTTGATTTTGAACCTTCCATAAAAATTGAAAACTTTTTGAATCTTATCCAAATCTTTTTAATAACACAGGACCAACTTTACGGTTTTCTCCTTAGAAAATAATTATTTTTTTAATACTCGTTTATTGATTTATATGAGTTAGGTTAGTTAATTTTCTTTAGAAAAACAGCTCCACCTGACCCTTTTCTAAAAAAATTAGAAAACAAATTATATTTTATTATCTTTGTGTTGTGCATGCCACTCATCGAACCTCTGATATTTTTTCCTGAGGTCAGAAACTACCTCTCTCAAATTGAAGTCCCAATGGCGTACGAAGACACTATCAGAATTCCGCCGGAGATCATCTCCAACATTTTATATCGACTTCCGGCCAAATCTCTTGGTCGCTTCAGGTGCGTTTCAAAGGATTGGCTATCCCTAATTTCAGAACCCCAATTCATCAAAACCCATCAAAATACCCGCAACCGAAGTCAACTCATCTTCGTCTCCAACCATCGTCCACTCTATTCACTTCCATTTCATCACGATGAAGCAGAAGCAGTACTAGAACCAACGAAGATTCTCCTTGAATCGTATCACACCGACTTCAACCTCCATGGTTCTTGCAATGGCCTTGTTTTGGTGTCTGCTAATACCTTCGCGAGTGTTCATGTGCTCGTAGTTTTAAATCCAACGACAAAGGAATTCGTGGAATTGCCAGCATCCGATTATGAGATGATAAATGCTTCCTCAGAAATTGAAATCATGTATGGATTTGGCTATGATTCATTGACTGATGATTACAAGGTTGTTACCATCTCCTACTTTCATTATAACTATCTGATTCCTCCTGATGATATGGCAGTCCATGTTTATAGCCTTAGAACTAATACTTGGAGGAGGGTGTCTGATTCACCTTATGATCATTCTTATGGGAGGAATTTACCAGGCGTTTTTGTTAATGGATTTCTTCATTGGGTTGCCATGAAAGATTCTGATCATGTACCAGTGATTCTTGCTTTTAGTTTAGCAGATGAGAGGTTCAGTGAATTGCCATCGCCCAGTTTGCATGAAGATGTTGATATCATGTATAGGAATGATTTTAAACTGGTTGTTCTTGGTGGAAAGCTTGCAGTTTTCATGGAAGATGAGGTCTGGTTGATGAACGAGTATGGGGTAAGGGAATCTTGGACAAAGATTTTAGTCCATGGAATCCATGAAATTCCAATGGTTGAACCAATGATTTTTTATGACAATGGAAATTTTCTGTTGGTCAGCCGTGATCTAATGGTGATATACGACATTAAAGAAAGAAGTTTCTGTAAAAGTGGTAATGTTTCTTGGAATATGAAAGACTTGAAGGTTAGAGGTTCTTATGTTGAAAGCCTTGTCTCGCCAAAATTTATCTGATCAAAAAATCGATAAAATGAAGCACATGTGCGTGTCTAGAAATAAGGCTTAGTTTATATTTCCAAGCATGTTTGTTGTATTCTTAACTTTGCATTGTACATTTTGTTAAAGTTGAATTTATCATGAGATAACTTCAACTATGAATGGTATTTTTCTAAATAAATTACCTTACAGTCTTTTAGATTTGTTAAGAACTTTTGGCATAATTTCTTTGCGAGATAAAATTTCCTCCTCAAACTTGATGGACTTCAAGACAAAGAAAGAAATGATATAAACTTGTCTTTGACATTTCTAACTCATTCCTCGTACCTGACTTAGGTATGTTTGGTGGAGCTTTTGAAAGCTTTTAGCTTTTAAAAAAAAGAATTAAATTCCGGAGTACGAGCTTAAAGCTTTTAACAAAAAAACCCTCAAATCCAAGCATTATTTCAATTAGTTTTTATAGAGTTTTTGGGAGCTTTTACGTTTTATGTTTTATCAAACGTACCATTAAACTCATTAACAAAGAACTCACATGAACCAATATTCTTATTTTTCGAGATAAATTTGTACAAGAATATTAAGTAGCCCACAAGTGGAGCTAAAATATTGGTGAGTGGGATCTTAAAAGCGAGGTCTAGGTTTGAATTTGAGCCTACTCTTCATTGGTGTTCTGTGATTTACCTCTCACGTGATGACCTTGAGACGGGTGTGATGTGAGATTGTCAATTAGGGTATATTTTTCCTTTTTTTTTATTTGAGAACAAGTAGGAATGCGAGAATTACATGGATAAGAATGAGAGGATAATCGACTTATAATATGGTTACAAAATAGTATATGTAGACGGAATATCTTTGGCATAATTTGAGGAGGGAGCATAATGATGAGGGAGTAGAAGTCTCTATCGGGGAAAAACTACTTACCCAAAGGAAGGAGATTGAGCCTATGATCAACAAGTAGGGCAGGTAGAGGAAGAGGGAGAGGGAGAGGGAGATGTGTAGCACTAGCAATCAGTATTGACTATGGAACAACATACTCGAATTATGTTGTTGTATTGAAACAAAATCGAAACAAGATGTTAACGAATGACCGACAATTGGAAGGAAACCAAGATTCACATTGCAGTAATCAGACAAGTGCGCAAAGATATAATCTCCACACCCTTAAATATGTAGAAGTAGATGACTTCATGACTCTTTAGCGATGAACATTTATGTCTGCATGGTTGAACAAAACGTCGTGTGCAAATAATTATCAAATCGTAAATAAACCGGTGCACACGTACATGTTTAGCGATTTTTATTCTGTAGATAAGTTGAATCATCTTAAATTGTCCCCACGAAGAATATTTTTAGTCGTATGTTTATCAGCGATGTTGCGTGCGTGTCCTGAAGTGTTCTTGCAACTTGGCAGTGTGATAATTGTAGTTATTTTGTTAGAGTCCAATAAAATTGTAATGTGATGATACATTTTCTCCTTGTATGGTTATTTTAATGACTAATTCTAAAACAAATGGTAATATTAAGACATGTAAGTAATCATTTATCTTGAACTAGCCCACAAACTTAACCATGGGCATGACATGCTCCCCTCGCTTTTCCCAACTCTTCTCTGATTTCAGCGCCAAACAGCATACATTTTGATCACTTCCTTCCCTACATCTTGCAGAGTACAATTTGGAATTGTTGCCCTTTCCGTTCAATTGCAACTTCCTCGAAATTTCGTGGGAGGTTCATCCAAATTTCTTGCAACATCTGCGAAGTTTCTTCGAAGGTTCGTCTAAATTTCTTGCAACATTGTTATAAAAGGGATGTTGGTTTTGTAAACAATTAGCATCAAGTTACATTTTACTTGTGTAAAGATTTCAAACATGAGCGAATACAATAAATCATTGGATTCCTTGTTTTGCTTTTGTGAGGTCATTTTATAATAGCAACCTTATTGGTGAAACTTGCTACCAATATATTGGCGATCATTTGACTTAATTAATTGCGAAAACAATTGAATTTTAGTAATCTTTGAGATTAGATTACTAAAAAGCAGTTGTTTTTCATAATTACATCAACTGATTGTGGACATATTGGTAGTTTGCTTCGCCAATATACGGGAATAAGACCGAAATGCCTTATCTTTCCTATGTAGCCAAGCTAATTTCCGACTTCATAGCAACTTTTTCTTGTAAAATGTGTGTGTCCACTCGTCAAAGTATAACTACATCATAAAGCATTGTAAAAATATAGGCTGTTTGTTTGGGTGTATTTTTTTTTTTTTTTCTTTCAATGTTATTTGAAAATCTGGTGACTCGCTATGAAATTTGAAGTTATTCTAAATGTTTGATTGACTATTGTTGATTATAAAGGAAATGATAACAAAACTAGGAGGGGAGCATCCATTGAGAACAGGAGAAACAATAATATAAAAAATAAAAACAGAAGACTTGTTTCAATCTGTAAATAGACACCCTGGTGTGGCTCTTATCCATTATAGCTTGTGACATTCAACATCTTACATAACTCATAAAAAGACTACTTACTACATACTTGGTGAATTGGTAGAAATACAATGTACATAAATGTATTTTAACTTACACTAAAAATACAAGCACAAAACACCATTTTAAAGATGGTGAGGTAGTAGGACGTATAATATATGATTAGGTTTCCTGGCAACTAGTAGAGAATTCAGGGGGCTTATGTGTATCATCATCATCATCATCATCATCACCATCTACAAATTCAGATCTTAACTTCATCAGCAACCGGCCTAAATAATTAAGGCCTTCACCATCACGACCTCCACCCCAAAACAGATCATGAGGAGAAGCTTCAACAAGCACACAACCCACAGTGGACAGAAGCATCGATTTCAAGTGTGGGTATATTGAAAACTTGCATTTTAATGCTGTGTACATCACATCTGTCTTCACACTTTCCCAGTCTGCCCTTACCTGCACAATTACAAACCAAGTGTTTAATCAACATGCCAGAAGAAAGAAACATCTACCCTACCCAATCACAGATACCATTGTGTTGTCTACTTTCATTTGTTTTCTTATCAAGGCATCCTACTTTGAAAATTCCACCCCACCCAAAACCCAATTATAGCATTGTATTTGCATTCTTTTCTTATCAAGACATTTGTGTTCCCTTTATAGGTTCCAATTAAGGGTTTCTTAATTGCACATCTGCTTTTGTCACATAGCCCCTGATTTCAAACTTTAAAAACTCGTCTTTTATCAGAAAATTGAACTTGAAAACTGACTCGCATCAACAAGTGTATGGAAGACATACCATATGAGGGTGCTCCCTTTGCATTTTTCTTCCCATTCGTGCTGCTTCTTCGGGACTTTTTGCCAAAAATATTTCTTCAATATAACTTCTTGCATTAGGATCAATCGACCCCACAAACTTATGTGCCTGCATTTATAGCATCATATGAATCATAAAGAACATACAGCTAAAGGCACAAAACAGCAACCTACTTATGTTTATTTTAATATTGTAGCAGTGAAAGTACCTGATAATAGTGCTCTACACTTGACCAAGTAACATAATCACCGCTTTCATCAAGCATTCTAATTGGATGAGGAGAAAAGTTTGAGAAACTCCCGTACGGGTCCCACGTCTTATAGAAGAACATGATTGGTGAATCATAAGGAGACAAAGATGGATCAATTGCTGAAGTCTCATCAACAGATGGAATAACAGGTGTCAAATCAGGAATGGGTTGCAGAAATCCACTAATAAGCACATCCGCTCCTATCTGCAATTTTTACTGAGTTCATCTAACATAGAAATCATCAATGAAACTACATTGCTATTTTATATTATATAGACCTGCTCATAAGAAACATCAATTAGTTCCAAAGCCTGTGTCATTTCAACCATCCCAAGTTCCCCAACTGGTGAAGGCGCATTCCTTCCACCAATTATCTTAGGGGCAACAAAAGCATGCACCTGAATTAAACAAACCATATACCCAATTATAGCATTCTACTTTCAAACAAAAATGAAAGATAACTAAAATTATAATTCATAAACCTTGTGTATGACACCAGAGGAAATAGCTGATGCCGATAATGTCCCTCCACATTCCCACAAGATTGAAAGATACCCCCGATCATAAAGATAGTCCACAACATCTTTAGGGTTCAAGATGTCAAATTCCACCACTTCAACACCTTTAGAGGCAAGAAGTTTCTGGAAGCTTCTTCTTGCACCTCTCTGAGTGACAACTATGGTGGGCACTTCTGTAACATCCCAAAGATTTGCAACCTCGGGAAGATCAAGAGTTTGGGACATAACGATTCGCATAGGTAAATGCCCACCACCATGTCTTGGAGTTAAACGCGGATCTATATTTTAAAATGTAGTAAGAAACTGACAAGGGTACTTCAAGAATCTGCAGAATTATAAGTGGCTGACAATAAAGTTTCATACTATCTTTGCGTACAGTATTTCCACCAACAATGACTGCATCGCTTCTACCACGTAACTCAAAAACTCGTGATCTTGATTTTTTGCTGCTTATCCATGATGCATGTCCGCTGCTAGCAGCAATTTTTCCTATCAGAAAATGAGGATCAAATGGTGCAAATGCAGCATTTTTTGAAGAAGATGATACTCACCATCAAGGGTCATTGCATACTTGAGAACAGAGAATGGGACTCGAGAAGCTGATCTATATAGCAAAGGGGCATTGACAAGGAGACAGGATTTCAGAGCATCCTACAAAAATGCAACGCATTAGAAGGAAAAGAGCATCCATAGCATGCCATATAACCATGGCAGGAACAGAGTTAAGTTCAGAGAGAATAGTTACACAATAATTTGATACCTCCATGGAGACACTTCTTAAATCTTCCCCAAGAACATCAACCTGCAATCCTTCACTTCTCAATGCCTGAATAGCTTTTCCCCGTAGATGTTGCAATGGATGCCTGATCCCGATTACAACTCTGGTGATCCCTGCCTAAGGATTATTAAGCCTCAAATGCATGTCAATTTGAAGTAATACTTCGCATTAAAAGTTGTATATGATGATAGCAGAAAGAAAAAGTAGATGGATTGCCATAGTTGTACCCAATAAAAAGCATTAAAGCAATCAAACAAACTTCTATCAACTTCAAATTTTATGATGAAAGCGAGTGCAAAAACCTGAATAAAAGCAGATAGAGCGGTGTTATCGCCATCGCAGTCTCCGGGCTCCATATTGACATAAGCAGTGGCGCCTCTGCAATACTCTCCAGCGGCCTCCACCGCCTGAACCTCCGCCGGCTTCGTCCCTTGCGCGTAAAGATATCCTTCTCCGACAACATTCCTCAAGTTGCTGGTTGTTGCTATCACGCAACCGAAGTTAGGATGCGGCGAGGTGAAACCGGCTGACTTGTCAGATAACTCGGCGGCGCGTTTCACATACGATGCATCAAGCGCATGGTAGTGATCGATGTTATTGATGATAGAGCTGGCCTTGAACTTGATTGGGGTAGCAAACCCCATTGCCATCGCCATCGCAGATCAGAGATAGCGAGTTCTTGTGGCGGTCAGAGGGATTAGCTCATTAGCCCAGCTATTCGTCGTAACAGGGTTTATGCTTTTGAACCAAAATGGTCCTCAAACTACTTAATATTTGCTTATAAGGCACTCCTGTTTTATATTTTGCAACTATCGGACCTTAAATGATCTTCAATTCCACATTTCCACTAGTTACTAGCATCCACAATAATAAAATATACGGAGTATTTGTTAAAATTTTCCATCAATTTATAATTATATTGTTTCGATTGTATTTTTTATAGGTTGACAATCAATAATTGTTTGTAATTTTATGACACTTGTCAATACTATAACGATAGAAAAAGTTACAACCAATAGTTTGTAAATTTTCAAGCTTAAAGCTCGATTGATAAAATGTTTGTTGAAAACACTCCTACAATAAGAAGAAAGATTTTTCATAGTTTTTTCCGAAATGAAGATTTTCAAAAAGCTCGTGGATGCACTAAGACCTTAGTAGTGTTGGTATATGAAATCGGAGAATTAATGAAATCCATTTAATTGAAATAAAAAGAAGTCATTTGCCCTGTTTTATTCTATTCATGAAATGGAATGCATATGTATAATATGATCTAGTTTTATTTATGAACTTTTTGCCTATGTAAAGCTTAAGAATTACATCATTTTAGTTAACTTATATTCGTTTTCTAAAATAATTAAACTAAGTTATTTGTTATATTGTTATTTGGGTTTTGATGATGTTTTATTATGTTTAACTTTTAGTTTTGCAAATGAAAAACTTATATGATTATAAATTAATAATACAGTAAATTGTGTTTAAGATATACATTGTATATACCTATAATGTAAATAATTTATGTAAGAAATTATTTCATTCTACAACAAAAGAAACATGATCATAAACAACAAAAGAAACATGATCATAAACTATAAGAGCATCCATAATATATAGTTTAATGGAAAAGCTAGAATAATATGGATTGTCTAGCTGCTATTTGATAGATTAAACTCAATCATTGTTAGATATCACATATTTTTATTAATGGATATTAAGCATGTTCGGTAAAACTAATTTGTAGCTAGTATGTAGAATTTGGAAGCTATAGTTTTATTTGTATATGAATTTTTAGTAGACCTGACAATTCGTGTATTCATGTCATGGAAATGTGTCAGCCATGAATTTGACATGATACGAACATACGAAGAGAAATAAGCTTTATCTTGATTTTCAAGATGTATTTGTGTCGTATCATATCACCCACAGATTCATGTATTCGTATATCGAATTGTCAGGTATTGTTTGGTAAAAACAGGTAGAGGTTTTTAAACATGTAAAATTACATAAAAAAAATGACTTATATAAAACATGTCATTGATTTTAAATACGGATAATTAAGTCAATTTGTAAATTTATACGACTTTTTTGTTGAAGGCTATTGAAATAGCTTTTGAATTCATAGTTTTTTTGTTTTAGCTAAATGTTATAATCTTTTATTCCAAGCAAAGTTTTCTACTACCTTAAAATTTTTTAATGGTGAAAGAAACTTTTTAATCCTTAAATAATGTCATAAATTAGATTTTATAGTAAATTGTTTTTTTAAATACACACATTATGGGAATGAATTAATAGAATCGAATGAAATTAAGAGTTAATATATTGTAGATGCCCTGGATGACTTATATCATTATCTTATTCTACTACATTTCATTCATTTACCATTCCACTTCTTTCAGTTTGAGCAGTTTCTTAATCTTAACAAAGAAAAATCATCAAACATATTGATACTGTTATAACAATATAAACCACATCATTTTCATTTAACTTTAATTAAATTAACAAAAATGAATTCTTAAATTAACTAAAATAATTTACTTTTTTTCTAGAACAGCTAAACTCAAACATCGCCTATTCTACTCCGTTACTCCAAAATGTACACCTTTCCTCAAAAGCACCACTTGAACACTCAACCCATTTGCCTAAGGCACCTTTCCAACAACTCACGATACCAACATACAAAAAAACTAATGTGACAGGTATTCATTCAGTCGACTCTCAATTTCAGTATCTCCTTCGCAGTCCTTAACCTAAAATATGGCATGTTTTCCTACATGAAACCAATAAATTCAAATTCCCATTTAACATCTGATATCATCACAACTTATTCCTACAAGGTCATGTAAGAACTCACCTGTTTGAAACAAAGGCCAATGTCCCTGCTATAAAAGTCTGCATATTTGATCATAAACACACCACAATCAAACCTGCCATAAAAAAAATCATAATCAAATATATAATAAATAAAACCCTAACATTCGAAAAATCCTTCAAGTAATCAATTAGTAAAGCTTTCAAACACACACCCATTCTTCTGTATAGGAAGGTCCTTCACATATTCTTGCTTCCACGAAGAAACATCAATGTCTTCCCCATTCTTATCTTTCACCTCATCAACAATGTACTTGGCCTAAAGAATAGGAGAAATAAATAAAACAAAAACTTTCATGTTGTTAATGAAAAATTAAAACCACTATGAAGTATGATCACAAGAAACATACCAATACTCCCATTACTTGTTTGTCAATGCCTCCAAGTGAGTCTAGATACTGGAATTTTTCTTCTTTTTTATTGATAACAGCCAAGCACCAATGTATTTCTTTATGAACAGGGATAAATATCTGTTAAAAAAAACTATGCTCAAAATATATAAAACAATAACAGCATTGTAATTAGAAAATACAAAGAAAGTAATAAACTTTACTTTGTCACAATCAAGAAGACTGTATCCCAACTTCCTTTGGGTAGTCCATCTTCTAACTGACTTGTAATCATAGCCGAGCTTTCCACTTATCAACTATATAAGTAAGGTAGCAACAAAATTATAAAATAATAATAACCATGGAATATACCTTAATAACAAAAGGTTTATGTAAATAAAGACAAAAAGAAGATGGATGGAGATGAGATTGAGATTGACTAACCTTCTTGTAGAAAAACGTGTTGAAGAAATGACATTTTAGAAACTTTTCTGGTTCCTTCTGTTCCCTCTCTTTCAGCAACTCAAGATAAACATTAATAACCTATAACATGAAAATTGTCAAACCACTAAAAAATTTGCTTAACAAATAACAGCAAGTTATAATGCTCCAAAATATCACGTTAAAAAATCAAAAATTACCTCATCGTTTAACCATTGGCCAGGTTTTAAACACCGTAAAACTTCTCCGGTGATTGTAATATTTGAATTCTCATGAGTAACCAAAACCTTCCTTCTACAGATTTTGAGCACCATTTTACACCAAATCAGATAGCAAAACACATAAAGAAGCCATTCATATACAGGCATATTATAGTATTTAACATGTATAGATAATCCATCAAATCATACCGACTAGAATTGGACAATGCAACAGCAACCATTTCCTCTTCATCATCTGTAAGAGGCCGAAAAGGCTCAATTAGTGTGTCCTGAAAAGATAAATCAATTTAACATGAGATACAAATCATTGATATAAGTTACATTTCCCAATAGACATGAAACATAAACAGTTCACCTCCTCTTTCTTCACAGGATGCAACTGCTTATACAAAGCTCTCTTTTGTTCCTGTAGTCTGATATCATAGCTCAACCTCCTAAGATTTGAGTCGTGTTTTTTGGCTGAATCTTCTAATAGCTTTTTATGGTAAGGCAAACTTGCATCTACATCCGAATCATTTGGCCTCTGGTTGAGTGATAATGATTCTAATCTCTTCCAATCTGTCAAACCTGCATCTACATCCGAATCATCTGGTCTGTGAGTGTGGTTCAGTGATAATGATTCTAAATTCTTCCCATCTGTCAACTGTGAAACCACTCCTGAAGAAGTAGAAGGCTGAAAGCCAAGATTTTCTCCAGCCTCTCCATCTAATTCCCTAAATTTAGCTATGATGTCTTGTAGATCCCCTGATTTGTCAATGTCTTCTCTCTCACCTTCCACCATTGCAACCTCCTCAACATCTGAATCCCGTGAAGCAGCTTCTTCCTCATTAACATTCTGTATATTGTCGACATCTATCTCATCCTCAGTTTCAGACTTAACATGCGTATGACTGCCGAAAATTGCTTCCTTCACTCTTTCACACGTCGCACGGAAAAAATTCCTCATCCGGTCAACAAATTTATCTGCTTGTTGTCTATTATATTCACTAGAACTACTATCTAATCTTTTCGAGTTTGCAGTAAATCCCTTAACAACTATACAAGGAGCATGAAGTTCTCTAGGAATCTGGGTCACCGGTTGCGGATATCGACTAAGCCTTGAAACCGAACTCTGCTTTGCGGCAACCGAAGTCGAACAGCAAGATGATGACTTGTGCTTCTTCGAGATGTGAGGGTGGCAATAGGCATAACCAGAAATAGATTGTGATGAAGATTCAAATTCTCCGCCACGCTTGTTGCGGCTACACGTCAAAGGACCCATTTTCGATTGAGAAAGCAATCTAGGGTTTCGTGAAAAACCTTAAGAGAGAAATCTACGAGGCGACCGGATATTGGCATGCGACCAGAGAAATTCTTTGAGCATTAAATCCCTAAATTGAGAGAGGGATTATCTCGGAAGCTTTTGATCGGTTGTCTTCACAGATTTGACTGGGAGGAAAACGGCTGGCTTTGAAGAACAGATTGGACGAAGATTTTAGCCGAGTCTGATAGCAGATCTGATTGGGGTTTTGACAGAAGCATCAGTTTTGAAAGTGTAAAGAGGTTTTTGGAAGATAGTGTGCTGAATCAAAAATAGACCAGAGATTGTTTTTTTATTTTTTTATCATTTCATAGGTGCATATGCATAGCAATTTAGCAATGACATTTTTAACCAATTCATTTTATTCTGCATAATTTTATCGTATTTAAATATAGAGTCTTAAACTAAATTATAATCTCGTTAACATGAAATTACTGAATTCATAGGTTTAATACGAAAAGTTATGTACTGTAATTGGCATTGTATATTCTGCATGTTGAGAATAAAATTGTACCACAACCACCTACATACATCTTTACATTTAAAACATATTTTATTATTCACCTCCCAAAAGATAATTCAATCAACTTAATTTATTAATATCAACTAGTTGAGTCGTTCGAATTATAAAGGTGGTTAAACAAGCTTTATGGAACTTACGATATTTGCAACCAACAACCATTGGGTGCTCGTTTATTGTAATTTACATTGGGTACCCGTTTATTGTAATTTAAAGCTTTAAATTTTCAATAATTATAAGTTTATTCACTAACCTTATTGGTTAAGGATGTTAAAATATGTTTGTATAATGAATCGTCTTTATGTATATTGCCAGAAATGGATCAAGTCTTTACAATGTGTAAACTGGGGACAAATATGTGAATTATGTCAAATATTGCCTAATGGTCAAGTTTATGAGAAATCTAGGTCTATAAATCTTTGTTAGAGGATGAAAACTTTATACTTAAAATTATGTTTATGTAAGAAATGGTAAAATTGACAACGCATGTTTTCATTATGTAAGAAAGTGGGACAAAAATAGAAAAAATCACCAAATTATAGTATAAAGAAAACAAATAATATAAGGTTTACTTAACCTACATACAAATATAACAAGCATGTTAGAACCTTGAAGTCCTAAAAAGATAGGCCCAAAATGGTTATACACAAGAATCCAAAAAAAAAAAAATAAGGTAATGTATGACAAAACATAAGAAATTGTGCCAATGGAACAATCCATCACATTTCTTTGTTATTAGTACCCGAGGACATACCCACCTCCGATACATAACATTATACAAATGCACTCAAAAGTGCATTCAAGGGAACCAGAGTCCAAGCTTTTTTAATAAGCCTGTAAATATGAATTTGGATTTCATTTCCTACACCGATAACAACCCCACAAAAGTATAATATGAAAATAAAACAAACCACCTACACGTCTGATCTATCATTGTTTTTAACACTGCAGAAAGATAACAAGTAAACCAACATCTAAATTCTTATGCTGTGCAAATGGCTGAATGACATTTTAATGTCTAAACTCATAAAATGACAAACAAGCCCATAAGCAAAATGACACCTAATAACCATAGTTCATAAACAACAGAAAAGCATGCCTGCCTCGGGCACCAAATCTGGGCCAAATGGACCCAAAATAATGACGTTTACATATCTACACCACGCCCGCGTCGCCTCCTTGGCCCACCTAAAACCAACCTTCCCTGGCGGCGGGCAATCCGAGGAATGTAATTACGAACACGCCCAGTGGCGGCACCACCGCCATCATCATCATCATCATCCACTGACCGACGACCCCTCTCCAATATCGCATAGCTGCCCCGGGCAGTCCTTGATCCTAACCGGAAAAGTACATTGTCAAGATAATTATCCATCTCCATGTCTCTAGAAAACCCCCGAAAATTCCCTTCAATCACATAATCCCCCATTATAATCGACCCGGGCATTGTCGAGCTAATTGTACTCATCACATCGTTTAACTCCGTATCATTTTCAAGCTTTTTCCATTTTTCAGCAAGTGACGGGTCTACATCTCGCGGGCGGGCCAACGGGTGATCCTCCCGTACATGCTTTCTCAAATCTCTGTACAACCCAACAAACGAACAGTCGTCTTGCATGCAGCTTCTCTTTTTAGAATTGAGAAACTTGCGTGCCCGCTCCACCACGGTCCACCCTTTCACCTGACCGCGGCAGAGCGGGCACATAAGCCCAGAGTCAGACCCGTCTGGGTCTTCCTTCTCTTTCGAGTAGGCTTTTTTGTATTGGTCTAAACAATTGGAATACCGATAACTAGTTGCACACATGTAAGGGCGACACCCCTTGTGATGTGAGGAGCAAAGGAGGAGAACAGCATTGTGAGGATACTCCATACAAACAGAACATCTTGCATCTTTATAATCTTTCTTCTCGGATTCCTTTTTTTGTTTCTTGTTGCGGGCATCTTTCATGATCTTTGATTGAAATGATCGTAAGGAATATGGGGTTGCCTTATGATGCTTTGATCCGGATCTTTGTGGTACCTTCTTAACTTTAGTCATTGCAAGTCAAACCTAGTATACGTAAAGAAACCATGTTAAGGATGTTTTACAGTTTACAGAACTTTCACAACTATTAGTCTATCTTTTAATTTGATTGACCTTTGTTCATTGTTAGTGGTTGGGTACTTACAAAAGTCTTTAATTTCTCTATGGATCTTTAAGTTAGATTCATGCATGTGCCAGTTTGCCGCATGCTGTGACTATTATTGTTGGAACAAATGGGAAGCAACTAGTTCCGCTTTTACCGAACTTACCCTACACAAGATAGATTATGCCTAAAATGGTACAGGACAAAATATGGAGTTCAGATACTAAGTAATCTACAGAGTCGTGTCTCGATCATCCTCGCTTGTAAATCACGCTTAATGCTCAAGAGAATTTGTCATTCAACAAAAATTTATTATTTCAACGAATCTAAATGCACACTTACAAAAAACTACAGATCCAAAGAATGACAAGGCCATGCAAATCATTACACAAAACACATATCAAAACACAAATCGCCGATGCAAGTAGACAGGGAAATTTTGTTTTAGAATTAGGGTTTGAAATACAGGAAAAGCCCCAAATAGCCCCTGCATCTAAGCATCGAAAAGTAATTTTGAATATCATTAATCTGCGCAATGCATGATTTGAAGTTCTATACGTGGAATTAAAAGATATATATTTTTTACAAATTGAAAAATAGCGTCTCATTTCCTAGAAAAATATAGTTTAAAAAGAATCGGCATCTATAATCTTACCGGGATGAGAGCGATACCAAGATCGACTAGGTTGAGGGACAGAGCCGCCGTAGCCGGTGTATGGGTGGGTGGAGAATGGAGACGGAAGAAACTGCCGTGCTCAGTCGCGTATGAGTTATGAGTTTATGACTTTGGCCTGCGGCATCGGGAGTTAATAGAAGGTTGCGGAGAGATTTGAAAGTCCGTTCAATCTGACACCAATGTTTTTGATTTTACACAAAGGATCCCAATAAATTATGTTTCATCCAATGTGAGCCACCACGTTAGTAGTTTTCCGATTCTTAAATTACAACGTTGTTTGGGATTGAGTTTGAAGATTCTTAAATTACTAACCGGTTTTTGAGATTCAGTTTGAAAAATGTTTATTGATTTATGGATTGTTTGTCTGAATGGTGTAAAGGTCTTGAATGAATTTGTGTATGAATGAAAGTATGTTTTTTTTTTTTTGTTAGACGTCTAAATAATTGAGTTGAACGATAAAAATAATCGTTTGATATTTCTAAACAATTTTCTATTGAATTAAATGTGAATGTTTTATAATATCTGAACTAATAATCATAAAATAAATATACAAAAAACATCAAACATCCAAATTAAACATAAATCTTTTCAAAATTTTAATTCAACAATAATATTTTCAAATCTACAACAACATATTAAAATACAAATAAAATCCTACAAGTTTATTAATTTGAAGCAGTTGAAAATAATTTATTTGCAATATGGTCACACAAATCAGTCATGTATTCATTGTCTTGTGATCCCCGATCAACATCGTGTATGTTTTGGTGATTACTCTCTCCCCTTTGTACTTCATCCGTGATTGTAGTGTTCTCTTTGAAGTTTGTAAATATTGTAATTCCTTATGAAACTATAGACTACGAAACAAACAATGATTATGTCTCTTTGCACTAGAAAAGTATAAGTATTGAGAATCTTGCATTTAAAACACCCATAAAACGCACTCAATTTGAGTTGTGTGTGTGCATGATTGATTTTTCTTCCTTAGTTGATGCACATCGTCGTCGATAATCAAATAACCAATATCTCATGTGCAGTAGGGGGCCATAAATCCACGAGTCTTGGTGTATAGAACATCATAAAGGTAATATTTATATGTAAACGTGAGTGATAGAACTGTTGGAATATGATTGTATTTATAACAAACGTAATAGAAAGAAATTAGAACTTTTACCATCATATTGCACCATGGATCACAAGTTCATAAACTAATGTAATAAAACTAAAAACTTAAAGATATGAGAATGGTATACATTTCTTTTTTGTGTGAGTTGATTCCTTCATTCTTTCTTGGATGATTTATAACATAAACTAGAACTCCTATAATATGGAAGCACCCTAAGATAGATGATCTATAAAGAATGTCAATAGTATCTTTCTTCCTTGTAAAAAAACGTAGTGAGGGGAGGAAGCCAGTGACTAGAAGAAACCGAAAAGGGAGAAAATGAGAGAGAATCTTGTTCATTTCTATGCCTTGGGTCGGGTAAGGTTAATGTGTTACACATTATCCTCTTTAATTAGTACATATCATTACCAAGTGAACTTATGATAGCCATACAAGTTGGCATCGAATATACTTTGATATAATACAGATAGGTAAACAAGTTGGAAAAACATGTGGCATCGTACCATGTTCACCCTAAATACAAAGTATTTCATTTCAAATAATAGAGTCTTAAGGCTACATTAGTAAACCAAGTCACATCATCACTTTAACTAGTTAAACATAATGCAATAGAGGTCATAGTGGTCGAATTTTTCAAAGAATAATACTTTTACGTCTAAACTAGGGTAAATTACACGAATAGTCTTTATGGCTTGGGGTAATTGACATGCATAATCTCTAACTTTTTTGTTTTTTAACTCGGGATGCCCTTATCATTTGGTTTTGTTTCGAGTTTAGTCTTTACTAGACCTGAAATGATTGTTATACCCTTATTTATTTCATTTTTATTTAATTTTATTGTTTTCCTATCAATTCATTATGATTTTTATTATGTAGATATTAACAACCACCCCATCTAACCCCACACCATCATCCTTAACCCCTTTATCACATCCCTGCATATCCCCTTTTCAAAAGCTCTAGCGACTTCCACCGTCTTCACCTTCGGAGATCAAATGAAAACTCGAATAGAAATTAGATTAATTATTCATGAAAAAGAAAAAATTGCTCCAAAACCAAACCAAATCAATGCGAGGTGGACCCTGAAGCAAAATCTCTCGAGAACCAAAACAAATAGAATCACATTAATTTGTGAATTTCTCATTCCCAAACAACAAACAAGAGGCAAATACAAAATATAAATAAAAAGAAAAACAAAACGGCATATATACACCAAAACCGGAGATTGAGAGCTTATCAAGCATAATGGTCGTGTGTCGATAATGTTGGGCTTTCAGATGGAGATTAGGTAGTTGAAATGGGTGTAGAATGAGATTGAAAAAGATGTCAGAGTGGAAGGGTAGATCTAGGGTTAGGAGGGTTGAATGTTTTTGGCGGGATGGTTGGGGAGAGAGAGAGAGAGAGAGAGAGAGAGAGAGAGAGGGCGGGAGGAAGGGAGGGAGAAGTGACAATATGGGATAACGAAACCTCCCACCAACGGTGGGGGTTAACAGGTGACGATGGTGCGTAAGATTATCGAAGCATAAGTGAGCGACAGAGAGCTTTCAGGCACAAGGACCGAGGTTAAGCACCTTTTCTGACAATTATGGTAGTATTAAAGGATATAAACTAGCATACAGATAAATACAATAAATACTAGAAATTATCCTCTAATAAAGGATAATTTCTAGTATTTATTGTATTTATCTGTATGCTAGTTTATCTCCTTTATCATAGGAGTAATTATTATCCTCTCTATATATTGTTATGTTAATATCAATACAAAGTAAGGTTGATTTTATCCATTGTTACATGTAACGATATTGTGGTTGTAGGGCGATAAAGGGGAGGGTGATGCAAGTTCCGTTATGACGGAGGATGAAGAAGGGGTGTGTGGGGTTGGTGGCAGATAAGAGAAGCAAGAAAACATGGTTGTCGTTTGTATTATGCAGGGTAATAGCCTAATCAAGGGAGAGGGATAGAGGGCAATGTGAGTTTTTTTATATTTGTTAATTTAGCTTTTTTTTTTAAATAAGTTAACATATACAAAAAAGTAAAAATGATATCTATAAGGACACATTAGTCTTTTTACATTAACTAGGACAAAATTCGAAACAAATCCAAATTACAGAACCGACCCGAGTTAAAAGAAAAAGAAAATAGTGACCAAACACGTAAATTACTCCAAACTATATAGATTCATGTAATTTACTCTCCGAAATACAAGATAGTCATTAAACAACAAACAAATATTAGATATAATTATTTTATGTAATTTGCGCTGAATTTAATTAGTGGTAAATGCTAAATCATGTTTACGAGTATATCATAAGAAAAAGCCACGTAAATTTGAATGGTTACTGAAGTTTATCGGATATTATATGGATATTAATGATTAATGATATTGATAAGCTTTAAAGTTTAAATTACGTCTTGAAAAGTTTTTTAGCCTTTATCATAAACTAGAAAAAACCCTTCGCATCATTGGCGCAGGGTCGAAAAATGGTCAAAATGGCAATATACTTTTCTTGATTTTTCTGCATTGACCTTCAAAGAAGATTGGAAAATCCAAATTTTTTTTGAACTTACTGGATTGGTTCCAAACTACATCAGACTATTATTATTATAAATAAACATTCTAATAAAGCAAACTTAATTTACAATTTTAGTACAATGTAGACGAAAAATCATTTTTTTTTTAAAAAAATTTAAAAGTCAAAGTAAATCCGCTAGAGACCAAACCTGTTACATATAATAATTCTACAACCATTCTTCACCTCACTTCTTTCTGGTGCATTTTTACATGCCCCCTGCAAGCAACATTCATACACACATATGAAGTTAATTAGTAATAATAAAATATAATCAATAAAGAATGTGTGAAAATAGCAATGTACTTGCGTTACTTCCAAAGATTTCCAGTAAACAAAATATAAAGAAAAGAAAAAGAATCATCTTTTTCTCTAACATGTGTAAAATTGAAAGTAAGTTTGATTTTTTTTCCTTGTCAATGTCATACTTGTAAAAGTAATAAACCATGG